ATCTTGGCACGTCCTCCCCTTCTCTGGTTTCTGCCAGAAACAAGACTCCTGCTCTGCTCTGGTGTGAAGGCAGTGCTGTGAATGCCTGGGTTGTGTTTAGAGCTTCTCAGAGGGGTCTTGGCTTAATGGCATGTCCAGTGCTGTGATTTGAAACATGAAACATTTGCTTGAAGGCCATGAGAGGGTAAAGCTGTGCCTGAATTGTGCCCTGGCCAGGCCAGGGCTGCAGGATGTGACCATTGCCTTCCTTTCTGTGTGCCAAGCAAACCAAATTAAACAAATCAGATGCAACTTTGAGTCAGAACTGACTGCTCAGACAGCATTTTTAGCAATCACAGACAAACCCTGCCTTGCCCTTGATTTTAACTTGTGCAGTCTCTTCTGCAATTTTTTTAGAACGAAAGCTGCAATTTGTGATATTTACACCAAACTAATTGACTTTCCCAATGAAGTAGTTCCCTCAAAAATCTCTAGTGAGGGCATAACTGCAGTTCTGTCAGAAATTTTAAATGCATGTAATTATTCCATCGTGGGGAAACTAATCACTGGATTTAATAGTTTTTTAGCAGCCTCATTCCCAACTTCTAAACACAATTCTGAAATACCACGTAGTAAGAATTTCAGTTAGGCCAACACAGGGGATCAATCCAATTTCCCTTCAGGTTATCAGATGAATTTTGAGCTGATAGATATCTCACTTGAGAACCAGTACTTTAAAATTCATTAGAGAGTGCTGTCAGCTGCCAATTTGCAAAATGTTTGAGCCACAGCACAAAAATTTTATCCACTGTGTGTATTGACTCCAGCTGCTCTATGAATAGCTGCTTTATAATGATGGCTTCTACAATAGCATGTTTGTCAAAGTCAACGTGGAGCCAGTCCTGGGAGGTATTTCTGTTCCACAACCTGATCTCCTAAACCTTTTTTAGAGCAAGAGTGAGATTTGAATTGCAGTTCCTGCCTTTAAAGGCTTCTGGGGTGCTACTAACACGTGCAAGTCTGATCAAAGAGTTTGGGGAATGTCTGTGATGAGTCAAGTAACCCTTTTTGTCTTTAAGAAATAAAATTCTAGCCACTACCTGCTATCTGTCTTTACTGGCATGGGAGACCTGTGAGGCTGCAGTTCTGGGATATGGTAGAAGGACAAAGCAAACCTTAGGTACAAATGATGGGGTTTTGGGGCTTTTTTTTCCCAGGAGAAATCCACTGAGAGCTCTGAGTTCCTTTGTGATTTTAAGAAATGAATGTTTGCTAGGTTTTTAAATAAAATAAATTGATTGATGACCTCTAGAGACATGAACTGCTCTGAGCTAAAGAACCCACCAAGTTCCTGAACTTGTTTGCCAGAGGTGATCAGCCCCGGGAAGGATTAATCTCCTTTTCCACTGAGACTTAGCCCTGATTGCTCAGATTACACAAGAACTGCGATGAGCTGAACTGGAAGCAGAACAAAGCTGCCCTGAGAGTGTGAAGGGATGAAATCACTCATGTCAGGAGGACTTGGCTGAGCACTGTGTGGGCACAGGTCACTGGAGAGGACAGGGAGGTTCCCAGGGCAGGGAGCCAGGAGAGAACGTGGGGTTGTGCAAGGAGAGAGCTGGGGAAGGGATGCCAGACTCCCAGTGCCTGTGAAGTTCCTATCTGTACCCTCTAGGAAGTGCTTTGATCTAGGTGACTAACAGAAATGTTTTGAAGATTTGTTGCTGAATTGTTATTTTTTTTTAAATATCCCCTGTTTAATGCTGGCAAAATGGCTAAAATTGAGAACACAACTCAGAGCCAGCAGTAAGGACTTGAGCGCTTTTTTTAATTATTAGTTTTCCTTTTTGTTGTTATTATTATTATTTTTTTTTTGTGTTACAACTTCTGCCTTAACCCCTAACCTAGTTAAAAAATTAAAAAAAAAAAATCAAACAAATGAAGAGTAAACCTTTGCTGACGGAGCAAACTTTCGCCAGTCATGTGGCCAGGAGTTGCTGCCTCCTTGTGACCATGATACTAAAGAGCTCTTTGTTTCAGGCTCATGTACAGTCAGGAATGGTTCCTTCTCACCCAACTGCCCATGCTCCAATGATGCTAATGACGACACAGCCTCCCGGTGGTCCCCAAGCCGCCCTCGCTCAAAGTGCACTACAGCCCATTCCAGTCTCGACAACAACACATTTCCCCTATATGACCCACCCTTCAGGTGAGGAGTGTGTGCCTGGGAGACCTGCACCCTAACTGAGCCAGGTCGAGGAGTGAGGACTGGGAGAAACCAGATTTGGGGAAAAAAAAAAAAAATTAAAAAAAAAAACTACAAAAAAAACAGACCAACCTTAAGATGTCCTTGTGTTTCACAGCTGTGCTTTGGCAGCCTGGAGGAGCATAGGTTTAGCTGAGATGTACCTAATTCAGGGAGTATTCTTGATTTTTCTCTAGCTGGAGTAGGGAAAAGGAGAGGTGTGAGCCACTGGCACTGTGGGACTGAGTTTTCCGTGGATTTGCCGTGGGGGATGGACTGTGTGTAGTTTATAATGATCAGAGGTTTGATTAAATCTTGAGGACAGCAGTGAAATGTTGTGTGTGGGGGTAGGGCTGCTAGGCTGCTGTTAAAGTAAAGTGACAACTGAAATCTAAACTTTAATTCAGAGTAACATTCTGCAGCTTTGCTTTGGGGGAAAAGTAGGAGTTGTGTGACTTCTTTGCGCTTTAAATTTAACCTTATTTAGGTTTCTTTGATTATTCAAGTTCAAACAGCCTCTGAACTTCTGTAGTGATTTAGTTTTACCTGATGTTTCTTGGGGAATGTGTGAGCAGAACAAAGCTGCTTTCTGAGGGCTTAGGTAGGGAAAGAGCAAAAAAAAAAAAAACATCCCAAGGACATCTTGATGTGCAGGGTTTTGTTTTGTTCTCTAAAAAAATAAAATAAAAAGAGAAAAAAATAAAAATAAAATAAAGTTGAGCTCAGTAGTTGTCCTGTGACCACTTTACTAGCAAACTGTTGTGTGGCTTGCCAATTTATTATTTACATTTGAACTTTTTTTTTACAGTACAAGCCCACCACCAACAGCAGTTGTAAGGCTCATCTGGAATAACTGAAAGGCTGGATACCTTTTGTAGGCCAAATACCCTCCTTCTACTGCTTCTGCCAACTGGAAGCACAGAAAACTAGAATTTCATTTTATTTTGTTTAAAAAAAAAAAAAATTTGATTTCTTGTAACATCCACTAGGAATGCTAACAGTTCATCTTGCAGTGGGAGAGATTCGGACTGAGTAGAGGCATTTAGGAACTTGTGGGCTATTCCATAATTCCATGCACTGTATCTGAGTCCTGCAAGTGCCCCAACTCTGCTTGCTGAAAACTGGAAGTTATTTATTTTTTAATGACCCTTCAAAGTTATGAACTCGTCAGCTAGCAAAAGAAGTAACAAGAGTGATTCTTGCTGCTATTATCACTAAAAATCAAGACTTGGAGATCCCTTTTACTTCTAACTAAACTTGAAACAGGTTCAGTAAAAAAAAAAAAAAATTCTAATCGTCAAACGGATGAGTTATTATTTATAAATCACGTTTGATGAGATAATCACTATCGTGAGACAGTGATGTAACTTTTAAGTTAAGAAAACTTTTACTTTGTAGATAATATAAAATAAAAACTTAAAAAAAAAATTAAAAAATAAAAAAAGTTTTAAAAACTGACCCTCCTCGGTGTTTGTGTGGTGATTTTTGGGTCTCTTCCCATACCGGCTGCTCCAGCTCCAATCCCAGCTGGAGCCAGGGTTTGCCTGAGGCTGTTGTGTGCTGCTGCTGCAGGGGCATTGCAGGAATAAGGGAAAGGTTTGGGAATCCCAAATCCAGCCCAGTTTTCTAACAAGGTTTTGTGTCCAGGTGATTTTGTGTTCTGATCCCTCGCCTTGAGCTGCTCCGGATGGGGCTGGGAAAGGTCCCGGATGGGCCTTTAAGGTGATGGAAGTGTAAAAGTCAGTGGTGCTGCTGGAGAAGGGAAGGAAAGGTAAGAATTCCCTGGCAAAATGCCTTAAAAAGATGGAGAGACAAAGTTATCCCTGCTCCAAGTGCCGTGTCCTGACTGTCCTGTGTGGTGCAGGCATTGTCCCATGGGGATAAACCAGAGGATTTTCATGTCCAAGGGAGCATTCCTGCCTTTTAGCATCCAGAATCCACTAAAACAATGTCCAGGCACCTGGAGAGAATCAAACTGAAGACTACAAGTGAGAAACAAGTTCTAAAAACAGTTTATTAAGAGCAGATTTAACTAAACTTGAAACAGGTTCAGTAAAAAAAAAAAAAAATTCTAATCGTCAAACGGATGAGTTATTATTTATAAATCACGTTTGATGAGATAATCACTATCGTGAGACAGTGATGTAACTTTTAAGTTAAGAAAACTTTTACTTTGTAGATAATATAAAATAAAAACTTAAAAAAAAATTAAAAAATAAAAAAAGTTTTAAAAACTGACCCTCCTCGGTGTTTGTGTGGTGATTTTTGGGTCTCTTCCCATACCGGCTGCTCCAGCTCCAATCCCAGCTGGAGCCAGGGTTTGCCTGAGGCTGTTGTGTGCTGCTGCTGCAGGGGCATTGCAGGAATAAGGGAAAGGTTTGGGAATCCCAAATCCAGCCCAGTTTTCTAACAAGGTTTTGTGTCCAGGTGATTTTGTGTTCTGATCCCTCGCCTTGAGCTGCTCCGGACGGGGCTGGGAAAGGTCCCGGATGGGCCTTTAAGGTGATGGAAGTGTAAAAGTCAGTGGTGCTGCTGGAGAAGGGAAGGAAAGGTAAGAATTCCCTGGCAAAATGCCTTAAAAAGATGGAGAGACAAAGTTATCCCTGCTCCAAGTGCCGTGTCCTGACTGTCCTGTGTGGTGCAGGCATTGTCCCATGGGGATAAACCAGAGGATTTTCATGTCCAAGGGAGCATTCCTGCCTTTTAGCATCCAGAATCCACTAAAACAATGTCCAGGCACCTGGAGAGAATCAAACTGAAGACTACAAGTGAGAAACAAGTTCTAAAAACAGTTTATTAAGAGCAGATTTTTTTTTTTTAATATTATGGTAAAATTGCATTATTCAAGAATAAGTTACTTGTACAGTACATACAGAAACAATATATAGAAAAAAATTACTATACAAGAAGAACTTTTCTGTGCAGGTGAAAAGTAGAACTTTCAAATTAATACACTCCCAACAAAATTGTTGGCTTTAATCGTCCTGCTAAAGGCTGAGTTAGGGAATACAGAGTCACCTCCCTGCCTCTGGGAGCTGCTGGGGAATGTTGGGGCTGTTTGGATCAAAGCTAAAAGTTTGGAATGCTGGATGACACCGGGGTTTGGTGGTCCAGATGAGAAATGAGAAGCTTTGGCTTCTCCCTGGATCTTTTCCTAGAAGTTTCACCCCAAAATAGCTTCAATCCAAAGGGATGGGTGAGGAATTTTGGTGTCAGTGTTCGGTACCTGCTGGGCTGGGATCTGGAAGGGAGGGAGGGAGACATCCACTAATGCTTCATGTCAGGAGCTCCTTCACAGCCTGACACCCTTGGGGACACAAAGGCCACCAAGCAGGAGTGGCTGTCAGCAAACAGCAAGAGGAAGAGGAGGGGGAGGAATTCTGGCAGGACCCAAGTTTTGGATTGTGCCCTAAAACCAAGTCCCTGCTGTCACAGAGCAAAGGCACTGCCTGGTTTTCATTTTTATTGCTAAAAACTGTCCTGAGGAGCTGGATGAAATGGGGCTCCCCTTCCCCAGCCTCTCCTGGGGGAGGCCCTCGGGCAGGACTTCCAGCCCAGCTCCAAGAGCTGCTCCTGTGGCTCCTGGCTTCCTTGGGTGGGATCCAAACTCGTGTTCCACGTGCCCATCTCCAGGGCCAAGGCACAAACTGGTGCCTACACCTCACCAGGGGCCACCTGCCCTTGGCTTCCCCTCCTCCCAAAATCCCCACAAATGCCAGTAAAAGCCCACAGGGGCCGAAGAACAAAACCTGCCCAGCCCTGGGCTCTTCTCTCAAATCACAAGAATATAAAAAATCCTGCAAAATGCTTCTATTCCATAGGGTGGAATGGCTTAATGCTCTTTGCCCACTGCTATAGTGCAGAGGAGCGAGTACCTTAGGGCTGCAGTAACGTGCTGGCAGGAGCAGAGCTGTGCTCTGACCTGTGTCACCAGCCAGATGTTTTCTAGGAGAAATGGGATTTCAAACTCAGTTCCCCCTGGGAGTTTGGGAAATAGCCCAAAAATCCCCTCAGGTCCTGCTGCAGTGGATCTGAAATGAGGAACTGGTGGAGCTGGCAGGGCTGGACAGCCCTCAGCTGCCTGTGGGTGAGTTTGGGGATGGAATTAGCTATTAAATAATCAGAGGGACTCTCCCACTGGTGGGGAGAACAGTTCTCCCCCACTGGAGTTTGTTTGCATGGGGGAAGTGGCTGATAATGAACCCAACGTGTATTTTACTAATCAAGCACAGCAATTTCCATTTAAACTGCGGAGAACCCCCTTGTAATTAAACTGCAGGTTAAAAATACCACATGCACACGCATGTTTCAGTTCTGGCACTGCAACAATAAAGTCCTGGCGTGCCAAAACAACCCACCCCAGCAGCATCTGATTTATCTGGCAAGGATTTCTCTGGATTCATCTGGCAGGGGATGTGAATAGCGCTGCCTTTTCCCAGCCCATCCTTTCTTTGCAGATGTCGGGAGATTCGGGTGATTTCACCTCGCCTTTTGGGGGAAAACCCCTTTGAAAGCAACTCCCTGGAGCTCAGTGGGACTAAAACCAGCAACCTGAGCAAGATTTAGCACATCCCTGTGTTTTCCAAGGCTTTGGGAAGCGGGCAGCAAGCGAGGAAAGGAAACAACAACTCGCGCTGTGCTGTCCCCCCTTCCCTTCCCCATCCCTATAAATGCAAGAGCACGGGGAGTTATTTATGAGCCTCGGAGGGAGCTGCCTTGCCTGGCACAAGCCAGCCCTGGGGATGTGCTCCTGCCTCTGGCTGCAGCCTTTGTGCTGCTCCAGGGAGGAGAATGGGATGCGGATACAGCTGAGGAGCCCAGCGAGGACAGGGCTGGCTTTGTTCCTCCGAGAGCCTCTCCGGGGCTGGCAGTGCTGCAGGACCAGTGCAATTTGCTCTTAATGCTCCAGTTTCAGGCACAAGTGTAGAGAAAGCAGGGGGAAAAAAAAGCCTTTGCCTGCTCTAAACGCACAAAGCCCAGGAGAGAGCAAGAGCAAGCAATGGGGAGGCACAAAAGGAAAACCTAAATGGTTTCTTCAGTTGATGGTTCCCGTTTGTCTCAGCCTCATACTCAGATTTATAAACCCAGATTTGCTCTCATGGCTGCTTCCTGGGCTGTTTGGCCCCAGATATTTTGGCCTTGCCCTTCAGCTCCTGACCTTGTCTCCTTGGACTTTGTGCTCACCCAGAACCTGCAAAGCCTGTCCTAGAGGCTGGGTTTTTGTGGAATTCCCTAACTCAGCCCAACGAGGCTTTGTGTTTGCTGGTTTTCAAATTAATTGCTAAATGTTAATGCTCCTGAGGGCTCCCACCTGTATTGCAATTTCAAGGAAAATAGAAATAAAAATGCTTTCTGTAAGGCAATCTCAAGGCAAGTTTTGCATCCGAAATCCCAGGGAAGGCTGTGCTGGGAAATCTGGAAGTTGAATACTGTGAACATCCCCTCCTGTGTGGCGCAACGGCTCCAGCCCTTCCTCTTTCCTAAAATAAAGGCAGCTTCTCAGAAGTGCTTCCTCTCTCACGGCTGCCCCAGGCAGGTGAAGCAGCCCAGGGGGCTCAGGAACAGCAGCAGAGTTTGGGGACAGCTGGGGGTCAGGGGATGATGAGACCCAGGGATTTGGGACCCCACATTTGTTCCCCAGGGACCCCCATCGCCTGCAAGAGGCTGTTGTGGAGATCAAAATGCCACCAAGCTCCTGGTGACACGGTGTTTTGGGGGCAAAAAGGCAAGCAAGAGTATGGGGGCTCTTTAAGGGGAAAACTGACTTTAGATTTGTGCCTAAAATCACTGGGATAAAACGGTTCCATCACTGGGATAAAACGGTTCCATCACCAGGATAAAAACCCATTCACCGCAGGGATAAAAAGCCTCCATCACCGGGATAGAACGCATCCATCACCAGGATACAAAGGGATAAACCCCTCCCTCACCAGCAGGAGAGGTTTGTGTCAGTCTCTGTGTTAGTTCTCAGCTGGTGCCATGGCTAAGGATGGAGCAATTAGTGTTCAGTCTCAATCAGCCGGGAGAGCGGGATGAGGATCCCTCTGCCTGGCGCAGGGAGTGACCACGGCTGTGCTGGGTTAAAAAGGAAAAGCAGGAAAAAGCCAGTTTTTGCCTTAGCTAAAAAAAAAAAAAAAAAGCCCAAACCCTGCTCACCACCTCTTGTGGGAGCTCAGCTCAGTCGGGCTCTGCTGGTGGGTTCAGCAGCCAGGGCAGGAGGATGAGGCCTGGAGCAGCAACTTGGCAGTGAATTTATAATCATTCTTTCCTTGTTATCCTGGGGTTTTTTTTAACTTCCTCTAATTCCGTGGGTGTAACACAAGCCCCTGGTTCCTTGGCTGGGCTCTGTCATGTCAGGACAGGCAGGACACCGGGCCCGGCGCAGGCACGAGCGGCGTTGTGTAAACAGTAACGAGAAAGCTTCGATAAAAACAACAAAAAAACAACAATAAGAGGCCCTTTAACAGGCCAACGAGAGGGAGCACACCCGTACAGGAGTGAAAAATTACCCCCTTCCTTGCAAAAAAATACAACAATAATCCCTAACCAGAAGGAAGAAACAGGTACATTCTTTCTCTCGATGGATCCCCCAGAAGGTCTCCAGGATTTCTCCACCCGAAAGTGCATCCCAGTGCCGGCGCCGTGCTGGTCAGAGTGGCGTGTACTGGTTGTCGATGGCACGGACGTGGCCCCGGCCCGGTGCCTCCACCTCATAGTCCGAGTCGCGGGGCCGGGGCGCGGTGGCCGCGGTGGCCCTGGCCGGGCGCAGGCTCTGCGCCAGCTCGGCCGGCGGCGGCACCAGGTGGAAGATCTGCTCCGCTGGGGGACCCCCGGGGGGCTCGTCGGGGTTGTGAGGGCAGGAGGAGCTGGTGGGGATGAGGCCGAACTCGGGGCTCCAGCCTGGAAAGGGCAGCGGGAGGGGGACCGTGGTGCTGGAGCCGGGAGCTGCGGGCAGAGAGGGGAGATGCTGGTCAGGGGGATGCTCCTGTCACCCCTCTCTGGGGGTACATCCCATGACCCCCCCGCAGACGGTGGCTGGGAGCAGCTTCTCCTTTCTCAGAAAGGGAAGTTGGGAGCTTGGCAGTCACCTTTTGTGCCACTGCCCCGAGGCTTCCTCTTCCCCACTCCAGGAGCAGCCAAAGGGCCCAGCTCTGGCCAGCACCGGGGCACCCCACACCCAGGCTGGGCAGCTCCATCCCTGCATCCCAGGGGAACATCCCCCTTCCTGAGCACCTTGTGTCCCACGGGAACATCCCCCTTCCCTTCCCAACACCTTGTGTCCCATGGGAACATAACCCCTTCCCTTCCCAACACCTTGTGTCCCACGGGAACATAACCCCTTCCCAAGCACCTTGTATTCCACGGGAACATCCCCCTTCCTGAGCACCTTGTGTCCCACGGGAACATCCCCCTTCCCTTCCCAACACCTTGTGTCCCACGGGAACATAACCCCTTCCCGAGCACCTTGTATTCCACGGGAACATCTCCCTTCCTGCACACCTTGTGTCCCATGGGAACACCCCCTTCCCTTCCCTTCCCTTCCCTTCCCTTCCCTTCCCTTCCCAGCACCTTGTGCCTGGGGCAGGACGACGACGTAGCTGGAGAGCCGCACGTCGCAGGCGGTGCCGCACTCCAGCGGGATGGGGTAGCGGTGGAAGTGCTGCAGCATCTCCACGATGGAGGAGAAGCGGAGGTGCTGGACCCGGCACTGGCCCCGCTCCGTCAGCGCCAGCCGCAGGTGCTGCGGAGAGGAGCAGGGACCTGTTACCCTCCCTCCACTCCCTCCTGGAGGACACGGTGGGGATATTTGGGACGGGGGACACTAATGGCTTTAGCACCACGTGCTGCATCCCCCCCGCCTGTGGCTCCCTGGGGATTTTGCCGCCTGGGAGAAGGGCACCAGCACACTGCAAGCATCGGGGCAGAGAGCAGGAGGGCACCTCCCTGGTGAGACGGGGGCTGTCCTGCAGCAGGGGCTGTCCCTGTGAGATTCCCCTCCCCATCCCAGCCCTGTCCCGCAGGTACCTTCGCTCTGCCCTGGAAGTTGAAGGTGAGCACGTACTCGCCGCGGCGCGTCTCGCTCTGCCGCACCAGGAACACGCCGTGGCCCTCCAGCCCCCCCAGCTGCACCAGCTGAGCCGCCTTCACTCGGGAGATGGGCCCGTGGAACCAGGGGCAGGAGGAGAGGAACTGCTCCATCTTCGGCCCCGCCGCCTCCCCCGGGCCCCCCGGAGTCGCCCCTGCCAGGCACAGGGATGAGTGTCCCTTGGAAGTGACCCTGGGAAATGTCCCTGCCCATCGCCCCCGTCCCCTCCCCTCTCTGTCCCCTCCTCGTGCCATTTGGGGAAGGCCAATCAGCCCAGCCATGGCAGGATGTGGTGACCCCCCGGTGAGGGATACTCTGTCCCCAGGGTCCCCTGGGTGTCCCCAGCTCACCTTGGCTGACAGGGTCGGTGCTGCTGGCAGGGCTGGCGGCTGTAGGGTCGGGGTGTCGGCACGTCAGGAGCTCAGAGTCACCTGTGTCAGACCTGCTGGGGACAGGAGAAGCCAGGCTGAGTGCTGGCAGTGGGGACACAGAGCCACTGTCCCCACCCCGGGGCTCAGGGACACCCAGCAGCGCTTACCCCCTGCGCACACACTCCCGGATCTCGGCCGTCCAGCAGCTGAGCTGCTGCTCATCCCCTGCCTCAAACAGGATGTCGGTGGCATTGGTGACCTAGGGGACATCAGAGAGGGACATGAGGTCTTCAGAGAGAGAGAGAGAGAGATGTGCATCCCCCACCCACCCACACTTGGGACCCCAGCAGGGACAGCGCATCCCCCACCCTGCACTCCACATCCCCCTGTGCATCCCCTCCCGGGATGGGAAGAGGAACTGAAATTTGGCACAGGAGCTTTTGGGAGCCACACGCGCCCCAGAGGGTGGGAAAGGCCTCGGGGGTGGCTGCAGACCCTTTCGGCAGGTCCCACCTTGAGGACAAAGGTGTGGAGGTTATCGGGCATCTCGAGGCGTGTGCACCTCCGCACCTCCTGCACGGCGGAGCAGGCGACGAGCAGCTTCGGCTTGGAGCCCTGTGAGGGGGAACACAGAGCCTGAGCTGAGCCCCAACTCCCCCACACCCCAAAACACCGCCCCACACCCCAAAACACTGCCCCACACCATACTGCTCTGCTCAGCCCAGGAGCCACCCGAGGCACAGCAAGAAAACACCTGGCTCTGCAGGGAAATACCCCAGCAACAAGGAAATACCCTGTGTGGTGAGGAAATACCCCTTTGTGGCAAGGAAATACCCCCCACGGCACTGCCCAGTCACTGTCAGGGCACCCCAGAGGGGCTGGGCGACATCCAGACCCATCTCAGGGGTCCCAAGGACCCTGCAGTGGAGGGATGGGTGGAGGAGAGGGGGAGAAGGGGGTTCCCAGCATGGCAGCACCAGGGATGTGGCACCGATGGGGAAATTGGGGTGCAGGCAGGGAACATCCTGCTCGTGGCTGCGAGGGTCAGTGGCCTGCCAAGAGCTCCCCAGCGGGTTTGGCACTGACACAGGCATGTGACAAAATGCTGAGCAAACACTTCCACAAAGGCTAAAATATCCCTGTGGCAGCTTTCGGTTCCTCAGGAGGCTGCAGCACGTGGCACAGGATCTGGGGTGCCAGGGGGGAAAAAAAATCACTGAAATGGGCAAAAATTCACTAAATTGGGCCAAAAAAATCACCCAATGGTGCTGAGTGATGGAGCCAAGGCTCTGTGCTCAGCCCCACAGCCAGAGCCATTCCATGCATCCTGGCAAAGCCCAGGCAGTGCCACCACGTGCCAGGCCCGTTCATCCCCCTGCACCAGGCTTGCTGCACAACATTCTGGGCTGGCTGTGATTCACACAGTGGCTTCATCATCCCACGGGATGCTGGTTCCAGTGTCCCTCTTCACTCACACTGTCCCTACACAGCGACAGTGTCCCGACACCCTGGGCTGTGGCGCTTCACCCCACAACAGCAACCGCCAACCAGACTGCCCAAATTCTGCCCAGAGCTTGTGATACTCACAGCAAACCCACCCCCAGCATGTCCCCAACCACCTGTATGACACTGAGAACGTCCCCAGCGGACACTTCCTCGGTCACCCAACCACACCATCTTTAGCTGTGCATTTTTTTTTTTTTTCTTTTTTTCCATCCCCCCTCCTCCCTCCCTGCCTGCCTCAGCCGAGCACTCGGTGTTCTCTGGGGCCGGAAACGCAGCGCGAGAGGGATCAGCCCTTATCAGCTCTGAGCTGCACCGAGAAGAAAGTTCTTAGAAGTCGCTCGTGTACGGCGTCATGCACAGGGCTGGTGACACCGCGGTGGCTCCGGCAGCCCCGGGCCCGCTGGTGACAGTGATTGCAGCTGTGCTGTGCTGCAATCACTGTCACCGGGCTGCCGTGAGGCGCCGCGCCGGCGCCGGGGCTTTGATCCCGAAGGAATTTGATTTTCCTGCCACCTTTGGAACGCGACCGTGCCCTGTTCAAAGTCCTGTGTGGAGAAGGTGAAAGGATCTCTCGTCCTGGCCACTTTCCCACACGGGAGTTGTGACGTCCAGCGTGACCCTGAGCGGGTTTTATCAACACCCCAACCACAGCGCTGGGGTCGGCTTCTCCGGAAACGGGGAAATTCCAGGAAAAGGGAGTTCGGCGAAGCCCCCTGCGTCTCTCGGCGTGGAGAGCGCAGCTGGTGCGTGAAGGGAGAAGGAAATGATGCAGCACAGAGATAGGGTGCCTGAAAAACCAGGCTGGCTTCGGGGAAGTGCCTACCACAGGCACGGTGCCCCCGCTGCTGGGGCGCCGCACCTGACCGCAAGATGCCCTGCTCGATGCGGCCGGTACCGGGAAAGGGAGTTCTCAGTAACCAAAAGTGCACACTCAACACGCCAAGGGTTCACCCACGGGCTCCTTCTCGGCAAGAGGAGCCCCAGCAGCACTGCAGGGATGGGTAATGCCCGCTGCTGCCCGGCTCTGTGTGCTCAGGATGCTCAGGATGGGGTGGAGTGTTTAGGATGGTACAGGCGTTGCTCTGGCTCAGCCCAAACCCCACCAGCTTCCACATGGAGATTCGCCCCACTGAATCTCCAGCAAGGATATTTGGGGTTGATGGCGTTTTTCACAGCAAAGCTCCTCCCAGCTGGCCCACCTGTGCCAGGAACACTCTCCCCAGGAAGCTGCAAGCTGCTGCCATAAGGAGCACGTCCTGTCTGGATGCTCAGGGGACACTGAGGCTGCTGGCGGAGCTTTTCCCACTCAGATGAGGAGCATGGTGGCTCTCCAAGAACGAGAGTGGCATGATGATGACAGTGGCGGCAGTGGCTTGGTGATGATGGCAGTGATGAGGGTGGAGGCCTGGCAGTGGTGGCACAGCAGTGACAGCAGGGTCATGGTGACAGTGGCAGTGGCATCACGATGATGACGGTGGCACGGTGATGACGGCAGTGGCGTGGTGATGATGGCATTGTCACAGTGACGATGGCAGTGGCTGGGCCATCAGGCCAAGTTCATGCAGAGCAAATCCTTCGAGAGCACCAGGAGCTGCCCCCGGCCCCTCCATGCTCCTGGGGTTTCCCCATGCCAGCTCTCGCTTCCACTCTGAGTCACCACGGGAGGTGGGGAAGTGCCTGAGCCCTTGTGCAAGGTCCCCAACGGATATGGGCGAGATTTGTCACTTCTTGTAAATCACTGTGGCCCTTACGCAAGGGACAAACCTCAGCCAAGCTGCAGTTCCAGGCCTGGCTTGGCCTGGCTGTGCTGGATGGACACAAAACCATATCCTGTGTCTGCAGCCCTGGGGGAAGCTGTGAGGTTTTCCAGGAGCATGGATACACACAGCTCCTCTCCAGGGAATGCTGGGTGAACTGTGTGGGAAACATCTCCTGGTGTCAGGGCAGGACAGGGAGAGGCAGCGTGGCCCTGCAGGGCTGTGAGGGCTCCAAGGGTCCTGCTGGAGAGTCAAAGTGTCTGCTGGAGCAGCCATCATCCTCAGGAGTTTGCACCAAGGGTAATCCCAGACTTCATCCTCAGGGATTTTGTGTGGCAGGAAATCCCACAGGTGGTTTCCCTTGGGAGTTTCACCATCGTTAAACCCAGTGCTCATCCTTGAGGACATTGCACCATAGATAATCCCAAAATGTGTCCTCAGGGATCTGCACCACGGCTAATCCTGGTGTTCATCCTCAAGGATCTGCACCACAACCACTCCAGCTATTCATCCTCAGGGATCTGCACCATGGCTAACCCTGGTGTTCATCCTCAGGGATCTGCAGCTGACTAATCCTTCTCTCCAGCAGCTAATCCCAGTGCTCCAGAGGAGTTGACAGCACAGTTAATTCCAGTGCTCTTCCTCAGGTGTTTGCACAACAGTTCATCCCAAGAGGAGAGGTCCACCCTGGACAGCCCCTGCCAATGCTGGTTTTGGGGACAGGGACTGGAATCCCACTGCTGCAGGAACCCCTAGCTCAGCTCAGCTCCCCCTGACCCCGGGATGACACATTCCCAAAACATTCCTGCCTCTCTGCAGGTGCAGACCACTCAACTGGAGACCTCCTGACAGCAGCAAGCACCATCCTGGGCTCCATTCTGGGTTCGGGGAACTGGAGCCTGGAGGTTCCCCGACTCTCAAAGAGGAACACAGGAGGTGATTCCCGCTGCTGTGCCAGCCCAACATCCCCCACCCCTCCCAGAAAACCCTCTCTGCCCACGGCAAAGCCCCGCCAGCATCCTCCACCCGGCACACAAAGGCGTCTCCAGGACACCCTGTCTCCGAGCATCCCGCGGGCCGTGGCGGGGGCCGGAGCTGTCCCCGAGGGGAGCGTGCCCAGCGGTGACAAGAGGCACCGTTGTGCCGGCCTGAAGCGCTGCCTCGGGGGCCACAAAGGTCCCTCTGTTCCCGCCGCGGGCGGCTGCGAGCGCCGGCGAACGGCCACGGGAGAAAACACAGCCCCGACCCCGGAGCCCCCTGAGCCCCGATTTCCTTCCAAATTAATCCCGGGTGCTGCAAAACAGCACCCCAAGAGCCGCGGGGTGGGATTTGGGGGGTCCAGGAATCGCCACCCGTGCCTGGAGCTGGTGGTTTCTCTGTTCTTTGATCATCCTCCCTCCTCTGAATGAGCCAACATTCCCAAACTCCCCAAACCTCTGCAAAACACCAAAAACCTTTCAACGACCCCCAAAACCCTGCAAACACCCCAAAACCCCACAAAGCCCCCAAAATCCCACAAAGCCCCCCCAAACCCTGCAAAGCCCCCCAAAACCAGCCACTCCAGCAGCTCACAGCAGGGCTGAGGGTAATGGGGGCTGTAAACAAGATCTGTAAACAGTCAGCTTTCAGCAGACCCTTGATTTTTTTTAATTTTTTTTTAAAATTTATTTTATGCCAGATTCGGTTCCAGCGTGGGCTGCTTTAATAATTTCCTGGAATAAATAACGAGCATGGAAAGTAAACAAGGTGTCTGCGTGCAAGTGGGAGCTGCTGCAGCCAGGACTGAGTCACCCCAAACCCCAGCCCCACAGGAATGAGGGGGTCCAGCACAGAGTCTGCAGGCTCCCCATAGTCCCTGGGGTGTCCTGGGATTTTTCCCAAGGTTTTGCATCACCCAGGATGATGGAAAAGGTTCAAAAGGCCACGTGGGAGCATTCAATCCCACTGGATGGGTATTTTCATTCCTGCCCCTTGCCCGGGGCTGGAGGAAGTGAGTTTGCCCAAAATGCTCATTTTTAACACAATCCCAAAATGACATTGAACATCACAGAGCCCATCACAGACACCGGAGTTGGGACCTGCCTGGTGGGAAGGAGCAGGGTCCACCCCAGCTGAGCCCCCACCAGGGCTGGGATGAATCCTTGAATCCTTCCAGACCCCGCGCTGCCTGCGCAGGCTCTCATAAATATTTACCTTTGAAAGAAGCAGCTCTCAGCCTCGAAACAACCACATCCTGGGCCGTGAAAAGAGAGAGAGAGAGAAAAAAAAAAAAAAAAAAGAAGAAAAAGGGGGAAAAAAGAGAGACAACCACCCAAAAAACCCCACTAGGCATTTCACATCAGCTGTGGGGAC